TGCCGAAGGCGGAGTGTCGGAAAGAACACCAGTCTCTTAAAGACACAGAGGTTTTTTTAAGTCGCCTAGTCAAATTTATTTTAAGTCGTATGTTAAATATACAGAATTTTACAGCTATAAAACAGCACTTTGTACCTACAAAATACATTATTCTGCCCCTTTAAGCTACTCTCTCATGAAGGACGTATTTGTAGAGAGCAGCAGTATAATGTGTCTTGTCAGCAAATTCTCCCATCTGAGAGTTGGATCTCTTTAGCTTATCCAGATTCATCATTGGCCTCTTGGTTGCTTCCCTCATTCAACCGCCTGAAAGTTTGTTTATTCTTAGAATTTCCTGCTGTCATCCACAGCTCCGTGTTTGTCTATCACATTTAACCCCAATAAACTCAGCAATGCATCGATGAGAAGTTGGGACGGGATGGGGGAATGCAAGCAGCGTGAATATGTTTGCAAGGTTTCGTCTGTCCCTGACGTTTCTTGGTTTGCATCTTTTCTTCCAGGTACTTGAGAGGCCTAATGGGGACCTTCAACGAGAGAGCGGAGAAACTGATGGATAAGCTCTCAGAGTTAGCTGAAAGCAACAAAGAGGCCAACATGCTTCAACTTGTCAACTGCGTCACCCTCGATGTCATCGCTAAGGTAAAATCCAACAAAAATCCTGAGGTAAACTCTGACCATCCGGCTTAAAGAGATAAATGTGTCTTTCCCCTTAGGTCGCTTTTGGGATGGAGTTAGACCTCCTAAAGAATACTTCACCTTTCCCCAAGGCCATCGAGACTTGCCTAAAAGGGATGACGCACTACGTTAGAGACGTCATGTTTGAGGTAGCAGTTCGGTTGTAGAGCAAAAGACGAGCTCTTCGACGGTCGAGGGTGCTATAACTGGTGTTTGCTCTTCCAGTACAACCCCAGGAACCGAACGTTTGTGAACGAAGTGAGGGATGCCTGTCGCCTGCTGCGTACAACCGGAGCTCAGCTGATCCAAAAGCGAAAGACCGCCATGCAAAACGGGGAGGATGTTCCAAAGGACATCCTCACACAGATCATCAAGACTGCAGCCACGGGTGAGAATGAAAAGATAAATGTTAAGAATAACTGTTGCTCCAGTGCAACGTTCATCATTGGGCAATTGTACACAGCTCAGCATGTGGGCTACTTCCGACAGTATCCAGGATGTTGGTTGACTTGTCCATTTTCTCCCTATTCCAGAGGAAACCATGACAGAAGAAGATGAGGAGTTCATGTTGGACAATTTTGTGACATTTTTCATTGCTGGTGAGGAGTTTTGGTTCTTTGCCATGGTGGTTCCTTCACTCGTAAAACTGTTTGGTTGATTATAAACCTAGATTTGATATCGACTGATTCTCCTCTATGATAACTTAGCAATTCATGTTTGGGTTATGGGTTTGAGTCAGCATACCGGGATAGGCTATTATCACCAAAAGTGGGTTAAAGTGAATCACTGAGTTAGAGTAGGCTTTTGACTAATTGAGTTTTGGATCGTTGTAACGTGATGCTTTGACTCAGTTATGCTAAAATCGCCTCTTTCTTTTTTAGGTCAAGAAACAACAGCCAATCAACTAGCATTTTGCATCATGGAACTTGGAAGACATCCTGACATCCTCGAGAAGTAGAAACTAAAACTTAGCTGTCATTGCTTGTGGTACAGTTAGTGAGCCATGATGTTTACGCCGTGTTTATGCTTTACAGAGCAAAGAAAGAAGTGGATGATGTCATTGGGATGAAACAAGAAATAAGCAACGATGACCTCGGGAAGCTAGTCTATCTCTCACAGGTAACTTTTAGCTGCTACTTCTATCTCTTTAAGCATCAAATTTCCATCCTTATTGACGAGTTTGTTTCTGTAATTGTTGCTCAGGTGCTGAAAGAGACTCTGAGGATCTACCCGACCGCTCCAGGAACGTCCCGTGACATACTGGAAGACATGACTATCGATGGCATCCGCATACCTGCAGGAGTCAACTGCATGGTGAGTCCTTTGCTGCTGAATGTACCTCATTAGCATGAAAAATGTGAATCATTGCAAAACTAAAGGCACAATAAAATCACAACAGGCAATGAAGGTGAATTTGTGGCTCCACTTAAACTTATGACTTTGCACACCGTGACTTGAATTCATGGATCTGCTTTTTAGTCCCTTTCAATGGTCTTCGTACCACTTGAACTTCTTCACACTTTCTCTCATAACAACCACAAGCTCCATTGTACTTATCTGGGATTTAAAGTAAAACGGTCTCCCTTTCGTCATTCTGGCACTCTTGTACTCAGTTTAGCAGCTATACCACTGGGAGAATGGAGAAGTTCTTCAAGGACCCTCTGACATTTGATCCAGACAGATTTCATCCAGATGCTCCAAAGTAAGTAATACACAATTATCGCATCATGCCGGGTTTCGTTTTTCTTTTCTTTTTTTTTTTGTTTTGGTGTGACTTTTGCACATCTTTTTGTGCCAGAAAGAAGAAGTAAATATTATCTCTTATCTTGTTTTACAAGGCCCTATTACTGCTATTATCCCTTTGCTCTGGGTCCACGGTCCTGTCTGGGTTTGAACTTTGCTCAGGTGGGTCAGACGGAGTGAAGATGTTGTGCTACCAAGAAATACCAATGGTACCTACGAAGTTGAAAAAAATAAATAAATAAAATACTTCTGTTTTTTCAGATGGAGGCTAAAGTGGTGATGGCAAAGCTGCTCCAGAGGTTCGATTTCAGCCTAATCGCAGGACAGACCTTTGACATCCAGGACACTGGCACTCTGAGGCCAAAGAGTGGAGTGATCTGCACCGTCAAACACAGGAAACATAAAAACTGAGCGACGTTAAAAGGTTTACAATGGAAATCACAGCAATCCATGTATGTCTGCAAATTTCTTTGTGTATTAAAATTTGTTTGTGCACGCATTAATCTTCCAGCTATTTTTGCCGATTTAAAAACCTAGAAAAGTTTCTTTTTTTGGCTGAATCCCTGTAATTTGACTTACTGATAACGAACAGATGAGGGCGCTGTTAGCCCATTAAGGAAAACAAAAAAAAAACCACAAAAAAAAAAAAACACAGCTGAACAGCAAACTCCACTTCAGAACTGTTTAAAACAGATCTACCCTGTCAGCAAATTACAGAGGCTGTAGTTGTGCACCAGTGATGACATGTGATTGTTTTGCTCAGTCCGGACTAAAACCACAGACTTTATCACTTTCTCATGTACTAATGAAAACGCTGTGGCTTGATGTTCACAAATGGATGAAACCAAAGATTCAATCAGTTTTTCACTCCTTTTCCTGAGACAGTGCAATTTCTTATCCAGTTTCATGGTTGCAGTTAATGTGATTTTATGTGTACTCAAATTTGCATCATGCGAAAGCCGGGTTACAAACACATCCCCCGCATGTATTTTGTCATTTTTAAACATGCAACTAATTTTACCGTTTCTTAAATTGCTTTAATTGAAACAAAGGATTGTTTCAATTAAAGCCAGTTGGGAGGATGTCTAACATCCTCCCAACTGGATGTTAGACATACAAAGTTTCTCCTTTTGCCTTTTTTTCTTTGCTCTTTTCTGTGTATCAGTCCTTTGCTAATATTTGACTTCATATGTTTTGCTTTTGTTCCCTTGAATTTACAATAAATAAATATATAATTTTCGTGTCGGTGAAATTTTCAAGTAAGTTAGCTTAGCAAATGGAAGCTTGTACATTTTCTGCACTTCATGCTTTAATGTAGACACCGTTATATAAAATTTTCAGAGGCTGCTGCTAAGAAACAATTCATAAACAGTGAAAAATCCGAGCATTGTAAGTGCAGGACTTGCTCATGCTGCTGAAGTTGACATTAATTCTCGATTCTAGATAAGAAAATCTGTTTCCTTGTGTAATTAAATTCTTACCCAATGCCAAAAATATAAGTGTAAATAAGATAAAATGAAGCACGCAAAAATAAAATAGGAGTGTGAACTGCGCAGAATGTGAATAGACTGTGTGCATATTTGTGCATGTAATGTGCTACATTAGCTGACGTGTGCAACATTCAGTACCGAAACAGCGAAACAGGAATTTGACAAAATAACAAAAAGGTAGCAATGACGAATATTTATGCTTTGAATCACTCTGGCAAGACATGAAGGTCAGACACAAAGTAGGCAAGAAAAAAAAAAAAACAGCAACAAACAAGACTTTAGGCGTGATGTTTTTGGACAGGTAAGTCTGAAATAGAATTCACAAACAACAAAATAGAGGACATGTTTGGCATAAAAAATTAATTCCAACATTCCAGGAGAGGAACCTTATTCCAACTGTGAAGCACGGAGGTGGAGGCGTCATGGTTTGAGGATGTTTCGTTGACAGGGGGACGAAACCACCATCGTTGAATTCACCACAATTTCTACCGGGCTGTATGGGCAAGAAACCGGTCAAAACCAGTCAAATTTCCTCAGATTTATGTCAAAGACTAATGGATTTCATCTTACTGAAGTCATTTTAGCCAGAGGAAGTATCTTAGTAGCAACTCGCTAACTTACCATTACCTGAAACGATTTAAATCTTACTCTCTCTTTTTTGTGTGTGTGTGTATGTGTGTGTGTGTAGTGTGTGTATGTGTGTGTAGGTGTGTGTGTGTGTGTGTATGTGTGTGTGTGTGTGACATTTAGGCCCTAAATAAGCAATGATTAGACATGAACCTGTTGTCATTTACTATAAAAATAAAAAATAACATTATTTAATGGAGTGTAGAGATTTTCTTAGACATGTCTGATTGTTTTCAGATTGTGGAAATGCATTAAGATCATGGTTCACTATGATCAGGACTTGTATACTTTTTTTAGTCTTTCATAAACAAAATCGACTTATTAATATGAATGCAATTGTATATTTATACACAATCATCAAATATAATGAATAGTTGTCTATAAATTACATACAATTCATATAAATCATACATATTTATAGAATTGCATATAAACTTATCCATTTACATTTTAGAGCATTTTCAAACATTTTTCAACCCGTTTTTCCCGTGGTGGCTTGAACGCACCCCGCGCTGTTGCTTTAAGAGGGCCGAGCTTCCCCAGCTCAGAGTCTGAAGCGCACTTTTTCATCTACCTGCTGCCTTGCCGCTCTCCTCCGCCTTGATTGGCCCTCTGGAGCCAAATCCCCTTGAATGATTTCAAACCCGAAGACTTTGGACACAGAGGAGGAAGAGGAGGAGGAGGGAGGAAGAGGAGGAGGTGTTCGCTGGAAACTGGGCAGGGTGGAAGAGACGGAGCCCTCTCAGTCCAACCGAACGCACCATCTCATGACAGAGGTTTATATCCGCGGACAAAAAGCTGTTGCTGGCGGCTGGCCGCGTCCAGACGGTGGGAAAGGTGGACAGACTCGGACCGAATTCGCCTTGGCGCTCTCTTTCTTTCATTCTTTCTCTCTTTCTTTCCTTTTCGGTCGTTGTTTTTGTATGAGCGCTCGAGTGGAGTGATGTCCGGCGCGGGTGGTGTCTAAGCTGTGGGACGCGGTGTGCTGACCGGACTCGTCGCTCGAGACTAACAGGACCGGACCGGGAATTCCCTCCGAATAAGTATCCAAAGGCAAACAGTTGACTAGTGGAGAAATGGGAGTACCGGCAGTTGTCTCCGGGCTCCATTGAGGCTTTTCTTTACCGGGTCAAAAGGGTTTAGGGGGGGTAGAGCGTTCAGCTCGTGCACAGGTTGCCATAGCATCACATTCACATCTTCCACTCCTTTCAGAGCCCAGGGGTCTTCACGTTTTGGACAATGTGCTCGTTTCTCAACACCGTTCCTCAACTCGGGTCGGGGTCCTCGCAGTAAATTCCGAGCCGCAGGATTCCACGCACTGAGATTCAGAGCCACAGTCATGGCCAAGAATCCCTCGGACGGGGCCAAGGATGACCTGAGCCAGCTGACGGACGATGACCTGCTGCGTTGCAGCAAAGAGGAACTGGTGAGGAAACTGAGGAGGGTGGACGGCGAGAAGATGAACTTGATGATCGAGCACGGCAACATGATGAAAGACATCAACCGGCGGCTGCAGGTGCACCTGCACGAGATCCGCAGCCTGAAGGAGGTCAACCAGAAGCTGCAGGACGACAACCACGAGCTCCGGGAGCTCTGCTGCTTCCTGGACGACGACAGGCAGAAGGGCAAGAAGCTGTCCCGGGAGTGGCAGCGCTTCGGCCGCTACACTGCCAGCGCCATGTGGAAGGAGGTGGGCGCCTACATGATGAAGCTCAAGGAGCTGGAGGCCAACCAGGAGAGCGTGTTGAGGGAGAACTCCGAGCTCAAGGAGATCATCCTCATGCTGGACGAGGAGAGGAACGGGGCCGGCTCCAGGAGCTCCATAGACAGCCAGTCCAGCCTCAGCAACCTGAACGGCGGCGCCGGGACGGTGAGGGACGTCGGAGACGGGAGCAGCACGTCCAGTACGGGGAGCGCGGGCAGCCCGGATCACCACAATCACAACCACGCGCACAAGCCCACGGAAAACAGCAAGATGCCCACCATGAGGAGGTCGATGGATGACCTGTCAGCTCCACATCATCACAGGAGCATCCCCAACGGACTCAACGGTGAGTACATTCAAGGGGGAAACTTCCTAGTCATGCACTTGTCAAAAACCCCTCTTGTTCTTGAAATTCCAAATCATAGTTGCCATTTGGAGGTTGTCAGAGGGCCCGGTGGTGCTGGATGCAGCCTCTCCTCTCTGACTGCCCCAGGGCACCTGTGGCTACTATCCAGTAGCCTGCCATGTGAACAGGCGCCTGACTGAATGTAATCTGAAGTGCTTTGGGCCCCTCTGGACTTGATTAAGCACTGTACAAGGAAAGGTCACTCACAATTACCTCTTACCATTGAGTATCTTGGTCTACCTTTATCGTCATGCTCTCTTCGGGGTGATAAAGGTGGATACTGCATCCCTAAAAGACCTCCCCAGTCCTGAGCTAGCCCATCCTCTGAGGTCTGCCCTGATTTAGGTCAGTGCACTCTTGGTTCTCAAGAAGCCTTAATAGCTTTGAGATGAGGCGCTGGCGATCGCCGCCGTCTCTGTGATTGAAGGAAGAGAGAGCGTCTCTCTTCTTCGGGCCCGGTTGACATGCGTGGCACGGGCCCAGACATCGATGTCCTTGCGAAATCTGAATGCATGACCAGAAAGCCACAAATGCCCTGATGGGACATGAGGACACTAAGCCTCGTTTGGCTCCTCCGTGATCTGTTTAGCGAAAGGAACAAACTGCTTCACTGGAGTGAAAAAAAAAAATAAATAAATAAAAACAACACAGCTCCCTGTCTCACTGAGGCTTTATTTTTTATTTACAAGGACAGGGCAGCGGCATATAGGAGCAGGACTCGAATCAGGTCGCGAGGGCGCATGTTATCCATCAGACATTCCTGGAGTTGTGTGCTTGATAAAGCCGTGCAGGTAACAGATACAAAAAGAAGATGAAACTGCGCGAGGGAGATCAGAGGAAGCCCTTAATCCAGATATTGTCACGTGCAGCAGCTAGGGCAGTTTTTGACTCCTGTTATGTAACCTCACTATTGTGCCTGCGGTGTCCTAGAGCCGCTCCGAGCTGCTGTTTCAACAGATGTGTGTGACATTGTTTGGCCCAGGGGATTTACCACAGAGTCCTGTACGGTCCTTGCGTTTATCATGCGAAAACCTGAAACGCCTGTGGATTTTATTGGCATGTTAAGTGATATAATGTGCATCAGTATGAGTTGGAAGATAATTGATACGTGGCATCACAATTATATGCAGCCCAACTGAGTCAATATGTAGGAGCACCATTGAAGTTACCAATGCAAAACTTTTTGTTTTGCAAAATATTAGCAGGTCATACTCAGACTGAATTACCACATTTCACAGTTAGACTTTAACTAGACCTTTGCAGCACTTCATTTTGCTGTTATTTATGCTTTATTTGAGCTTGTTGCCCTGCTGGAGTCCTCCCCACGCCCCTGGACTGCCCTTCTTTCTACCCCATCAGTCTTCTAATCAACTCTGACCAGATTCTCTGTCACTGCTAAAGAAAAAAAATCCCCACATCTTCATGCTTCCTCCACCATGTTTCACTATAGGATCACAGGTTCTGAGTAATGTGCAGTTTCAGTTACCCACCGTAAACTGTGCTTTGGCCACAAAACTAGATTTGTGTGTCATCCACCAAACTTCATGCAGGACTTCTTATGGCTTCTTTTTTTCTAATTTGAATATAATCACACACAGGGACATTATTTACCAACTGCACACCTTCTTGATTGGTTGCACTGGGTTTTTATTCAGGGTATCAGAGTTAATGGGGCTGAATACAAATGCACTATAACATAAATATAATCAGTAGTTTTGAAGAAAAATATTTAAATATGCAAATACGTTCATTTCTGTCAATTTTATGCTATCTGGTATAACACATGGTGCAGCCTCACAATTCTGTCATTCTTGTAAATAGATGAAATTCGAAAGGAACGCAACTGACATCTCCTCAGATGCCATTTGATAACGGCAACAAAGCAATCCTCCCCTGATGCCGCCTCGCTGTTTGTTGCACGCCAGATCGCTGGGAGAGGAAGCGCGCGGATCAAAACACAGTTTTCCTCTTCAGTGAATAATTCCCTTCAACACTCTCTGAGATAGAAACCTAGGCATGACACAGGCTTCTCGACGTGCCAGACTGGAGGGAAAACCGTCTTCTTCTCCCCCCCCTCCCCGTCCACTGGGAAAGATTTACTCAGTTGGCTGGTTGAAATCTGAGAGGAGGGACTGTGTTGTGAGGTCGGATCTCCCCCCATGGTGTGAGGTCTGGAGTGGCTTTTATTTAATGCTGTCCAAATGCCACAGGCTCCCCTGGGCATTCAGGACACCAGCGCCGGGATCGCCACTCAAATGCTAAATGAACAGCATCTGTCCGCTTGTGAGATGTATATACAGTCAGAGAGGAGGAAGAGGATGTGAATAAAATAAGTGTTACTACAGGGTGATGCTTCGCTTTTGCCAAACAGAACCTTTCTCTGCTGATTTTAGTCCTATTTGCATAGGAAAATTTCTATCTTTTTGAATGATAAATGATCCAAAGAGGAGTCTAAGCAAGGGGTTCTAGGTAGATTTTGGGGGGAGTGGCAGGATGACAACAAGGGGTTGGTTGGGACGCTTTGGAGAGGCACAATGGGGTTTCCTGGAGGGGCTATTAAGCTCCATAGAGGCTGAGTTTTGCAGACGTCCCACTGTCTGCTTAATTGAATTTCTTGAGCTCTGACACGTCTGCCCAGCCCTTCTCTCCTTACTTTGTGGTGAAGAGTGACGACATCTGTTTAGAACAAAAAATGTAGATAAATCAGCCAGGGCCGCTTTGAGTGCCATGCCACGAGTTTCGTAACCTACTGCATAATCATAATAGGCTTTTCGAAGTCTGCAATCAATTTTGGAAGCCATGGAACCCGATTCCACTCAATGACAGACTGATTCGCAGGCTGTCGCAAAGAATTTACATAAAACTCCCTCTCAGAGCCTTAAAAACTGAACTGAACACAGCCCAGGATTAAAACAAAGTAGCCAAGCGAGACGGGGTGCTTCGACGATGTCCAGATGAGCTGCTGATAAAAATCCCCTCTTGTAATAATGCTTGTTGACCTTTAGCAGGCCTTAAATGTTCCCATAGCCTTTTAGCCGATGGTGGCTTTGGAAAGCAGTATTTGTAGTTCAGCAGATAAAAGTGCTCGGAATAAGGCAGCCGATTCAGTTTCTCCAAGTGAGATGAGAAAACATCTCACTGGGAGAAACATAGTCTATCAGCATTTTAGAAGCAGAAAACTTGGGAGTACTGTAGTATTCTGCCATTGTAGGATTCTAACAAAACTAATAAGTACAACACTAATTTAGGAATTGCTGCAGCCATGCTTTGCTGAACATAACGCAACCTAAAAATCAAGTTTTTAAAACCTTGGACATACTGCTTTTATATGTCACTGCATTTGATGGGTGTAACATTTAGGTATTTATTGATATCTGTGTAACATTTTGTCTTAAGTATTCCCTTGGAGTTTGTACTCAGCTCTTCCAATGTCTATAGAAACGAACCCCTTCACACTCTACCCTGCTCACTACTTGTGCTGCATGCAGAACTCTCAAAATACGGGCATTTAGACATCCGACCGCAAAGACGAGGCGAAACTTCCCGTCAAGCAGAGTAGCCTGAAGGATGGACTCATAAAAAAATAACTGGTGCATTGGCTTTCTTTTGGATCCTGGGTGATCCCATCTGAACAATAATAATGTTGATTGCAGACTCTGAATGTCTTTTCAGAAAGTCTGAACTATTTTGTTGGCGTTGTGATGCCATTTTGAGTGAGACTATTTGCTGTTCCTACAAGAACCGTTGGGTCTGTAGTAAGAATCTGATGGGGGAAAAAAAAGTTCAGGAATGTTTTCATGACACCATATAAATCAGGGTTTTAGCGTGGTATGCCTTGCTACGTGTTGCTGTTTTGACAACTTTATTGATAGGACATGGGAGGTCTCAAAGTGTATAAATCTTTGATTATCTTTATGGCAGACTCTTACTGCTGTCAAGGTTGGGGATTGAAAATGTCTCACATCACTCGGTTTTTGTTGAAACATTTAAACAGACTTATTTGAGTTTACAATAGAGAAGGTGAGTGGCCAAACCCAATCCTTTCAAGTACTGAAAGATTCTTACTATTAGATTTTACTTTATTATTATTTTTTTATTTCTTAGGATTATGCAATGCTTTCCTTGGCTGTGACCAGCATGAAACCACATAAATACTAAGAAGGGGCAATTTATGGATCAGTAGTTTTATCACCATGTCCTCTGCAGCCATATTATTACAGCATGACCAGACTTCAACCCCTGACCCCTAACCTTCCCAACCAAATCCAGTAGCACCCAACCTAGACATTCATTGGGACATAGTAGGGGGTGTTAGGGATGCTTTCAGGGGTTATCCAGTCTTTGTATAACCCAGGCAAAAGCTGTCTCCACATTCTTGGCACAAGCTCAAGCTTGTTTGCTCAGCCACGACTGCTCCTTGTCTCTGATCCTCCTTGTGGTGTTCATGGACAGGAACTCAAGATAGTGTTGGAAGAGAAGAAGATATCCGTCTTGGTGTTTTGTCTGTGAATGACATAATAGGGAAAGTTTGATCAGGGCATGGTTGGTCTTTTGTGGTCTCTCATAGTGACCTGTCTGTCCTAACCCTTACTGATGGTCAACGGATAGAAATCATTCCAAAAAGAACAAGAACTCTGATCAAGCGGGTGGAAGGAGCTGCCTCTTGTGGAGTGGATTAATTAAGAAGCTCCATTATCTAGAGAGAAGCCACAGCTTCTCAACATCAAAAGGATTCACCTTCGGTGGTAAAGCATCTGGATTAAGACGCTCCTGGGTGCCTCCCTTTGGAGGTTGTTCAGGCTCATCATACTGGGAAGAAACACCAGGGAAAATTTAGAACTCACTGGGGTTACCTTCATGACCCAACCTTAAAAATACAGGAGGTCCCATGTCTAAGGTTGGATGGAAGGATTTTCTGGCATTTATTGCAGTGATTTTAT